ACTTGCAATTTTTGTGGGATCACGTACAAAGACGGAGTCTCAAGAATGAAGCAACATTGGGTTGGAGGCTTTGCAAATGTCTTACGATGTACAAAATGCCCGGCGGAAGTTCGTGTAGAAGTAAAAGAATACATGGAAATAAAAAAGAAACAAACGGAGCATAGAAGATGTGTAGTAGACATTGATGAAGCGGTTGATTTGGATGATTATGATGTCGAAGAAGAAGAAATTGATCCCATGAAGGCTCCAACTCCAAGGAATCTATCCTCCTCCGCATCCACTCACGGTTTCAACATGAAGAAAACTCAAATTCAATTCAAGAGGCCAAAAGCAAAAGGGGCTATTGATTGCTATTTTACACCCGATGCCGAAGTTGCCGTGGAAAATCGAAAGAGCAAAGGAAAGCAACCAAGAATAGATGAGAATTCGCCCTATCGAGAAGAGTTGAGGAAGAGAGCTTATGAAAAGATTGCAAGGTTCCTATATGAAGCCGCGGTCCCACTTAATGTGGTCAATTGTCCGAATTTTGGGCCTATGATTGAGGCCGTTGGAAATTATGGTTCCGGGTTGCCGCCGCCGACGTACTATCAAGTAAGAGGCCCGTTGCTTATGAATGAGAAAGAGCACGTGATGAAGATGATGAAAGAGCATGAGCTATCTAGAGCACAATACGGGTTCATATTGATGTGTGATGGATGGACCGATCGGCGGAATCGGACTTTGATAAACTTTTTGGTGAACTCTCCTCGTGGTTCTGTGTTCCTTCACTCTGTTGATGCATCGAGTTATACAAAGGATGTAAGGAGAATTCAAGACATGTTGGAGACTTACATTGAAGCCATTGGAGAAGAAAATGTGGCTCAAACTGTAACCGATAGTGCGGCGGGCAAACAAATTGGTTGGGCATTACTTGGAGGGGAAGTATCCACATTTATATTGGAGTCCTTGTGCCGCACATTGCCTCGACTTGATGTTGGAAGATATTTTCAAAATTCCTTATCTTCAAAGGACATATGAGAGGGCTCTCCGAGTGCACGACTACATCTACAATCGTCCCACTTTGTTGAACATGATGCGGCACTTTACACAAAAGAAAGATTTGGTGAAGCCAGCAAAAACCCGTTTTGCAACGACATTTTTGACTTTGCAAAAATTTCTTGTTCACAAGTCTAATTTGCGAAAAATGTTTGTGTCCGACGATTGGACTAAAAGCAAATGGGCGAAAGAGGAACAAGGCAAGAAGGTTGCCGAGATTATGATGATGCCGTTATTTTGGACCAATGTGACGATTGCTTTGAAATTTGCTTCTCCTCTTGGTTGTGTGCTTCGGATTGTAGAAGGTGAGGAAAAGCCCCCGATGGGATATATTTATGAGGCGATGGATAGGGCCAAGGAAGCATTGCATCCGCATTTCAAGGTGTCCAAGGCAAGTATCAAGATGTGTATGATATTATTGATCGAAGGTGGGATGTTCAATTACATCGACCTTTGCATGCGGCGGGTTTTTTCTTGAATCCGGAGTTCTTCTACAAAGACCTGGGGTGTTGTGGAGCTTCTTTGGAGATTTATAGAGGCTTGTACGAGTCCATCCAAAGGTTGGTTCCAAGTATTGCAACACAAGATCAAATTTGTGATGACTTGGACAAATATCGGAATGCCGAGGGTCTCTTTGGTTTGCCTATGGCGGTTAGACAAAGAGCTACAAGGACACCGGCAAATTGGTGGGCGGCGTATGGTTCCAATACACCCGATTTGCAAAAAATTGCTATCAAGGTGTTGAGCCTCACTTGTAGCTCGTCCGGATGTGAGAGGAATTGGAGTGTTTTTGAGCACGTAAGTTTTTTATTCACTCTATTTTTTTATATTGTTATTATTTATTTATTATTATTAATTTATAACAATGTGGAAATTATTATTTTGATAGATTCATTCGAAGAAAAGAAACAAATTGGATCATGATCGGCTTAATGACTTGGTGTTTATCAAGTACAATAGGGCATTGCAACGCCGGTACTTGATGTGGGGAAAAAATGATCCTATTGCCTTGAAAGACATTGATGAAAGCAATGAATGGTTGGTGGGTGCTAGAGAGGAAGAATATGTGTTTCAAAATGAGGATTTAACTTTGGATGACGTTGCTACGGCCGCCGGGGTTGAGGAGTCGAGAAATAGAACTAGATCAACTGGAAAGAAGTCGGCTTCTAACGCATCATCTTCATCATTTAGGCTTGCAGATGAAGATTGTGAATGGAATGATGATGTTATCAACGATGATGCGGAAGAAGAGGATGTGGATGGATATAAGTCGGATGATGATGTCGCCGCGGTCGAAGAACTTTCCCTCGACTAGTATTTGTTGTGGAAGTAAAACTAATTTTAGTTGTTTCTTTTGGTGTTGCTTTTGTTGGAAGGTGGAACTTGGAACTATGAATATTGTTGTTTATTTGCTTTATATTGGTCATGTTGGATATGGATGCTACTTGTTAGTTTTTTTATACTTTATTTATTGTTGTTTTCATTTTAATGTGTGGTGTTTTATTGCATATTTATTAGCTATTATAATTTATATCTACATAAATAATTGTGTCATAATTTGGTAAACATATATTTCTATTTTTTTTTTTGTAATGGCTCGCCTCGCTTTCATATGGCGGGCGCCTCGCCGCACGCCTCACGCCATGGCAAATTGGAGTCTTGTCGCCTTGGCTCGCCGCGCGCTATTTTAATCACTGTTCCCACCTGGTCGTCTTGGGTGGCCGGACGCTCGTCCGCTCCCGCCGGCCAGACATTATTTTTTTTTATTTTTTTTATAATAATAATTTATAATTATAAATATAATAATTATAATAAATTATAATTATAATAATAATTATAATTTAATTATAATGAAAAATTATAAATTATAATGAAAAATTATAATTATTTTAATTTAAAACAAAAAATAATATATTAATAAAAATATTTATATTAATTAATTTATTAGAAAAAAATTAATATAATTTAAAACAAAAAAATACTATATTAATAAATAAAAATTACATTAATTAATTTATTGGATAAAAAATATTTTAATTATCAGAATAATAATAATTACTAAATATTATTAAATTAATTGATCACTATTTAAATGGTTAAAAAATTTCACTAATTAATAATAATTAATTTCACTTAAAAAGTTAAATAAAAGATATATTAAAATATATATATATATATATATATTAATAATTAGTTGTACTAAAAAAATTATATATATATATATTTATTAAAAGATATATATATATATATATATATAAATATAGTTAAAGAATATATTAAAAAATGTATATGTAATTAATTTGCTAGCAAAAAAAATATTTACTAATTATTATTTTATATTTTTTATTCAGAGTGTTAGTAGACCTAGACATTCTGCCAGGGATGACGACGACGAGGTTAATGAATATTATGAAGGTTCTGGCCCCCGACACACTAGGAGTCGGGGTGTGGATGCGTCCGTTCGTCGGGAGAGGGACAGACAGACGATGATCGATCAGGCTCGGAGGATAGATGCGCCCGTTCGTCGGGAGAGAGACAGACAGACGATACTGTTCAACTANCAAGGCCAAAACTGTCCAAGGGGGGCTAGTAAATAGTAATAGGGGGACGGTGAATAGTAATGCCCATATATTATAGAGCATCTACAATGCATTGGGTCTAGTCTTGCCTATGTGGCATGTAAATAACCCAAGTCCTGAATGACATGGATAAAACTATGTAAAATTGATAAAATCCACTCCAATGCAAAGAGACTATGTCTCTACTTGGGTCTAAAATAGACCTAAGGGTAGACCCAGTCTCTTTTTCTGGTTGCCACATCAGCAGGACCCAGTTTAATTTTATTTGCATTGGAGAATACATTAGGTGGGATCCAATTTTTTATGGTTGAACCCAAAGCATTGTTGGTGTAGATTATCATTATTATTATTATTATTATTATTATTATTATTATTATTATTATTAGGTATCTTCTAGAATAAGTTATGAATTAAATATTATTATAAGAGATCTTGTCTTGTTGGACAAGTTAGATTTAGGATTAGGGGGCTTATATAAAGGACTCCCTCTAGTTTATTTCCTTAGTTGATTTTGAATATTAAATAAGATTAGAGATTGTGAATCGCGTGTTTTACAAGAGTGTATCTCGTTTACTCATTTATCCTTCCCACTCGTACGCTTCCTTACATCAGTTGGCATCAGAAGTCAGCACGATTCACAATGCTGTCGCGACGACAAGATGATGCAAACTACAGGCGTGTCGCCGCCATCTACAACCTGACCCGCCGGACAGAATGGTTTGGCTGTCGGCTCGAGACGATGGGTCGTGAGATTGCAGATCTAACCTCAGAGATCGAGGACATACGTCTAACTTTCCGTACCATGGTTCGGGACAAGCAAACGTACTGTGACGCCTGCAACCGGGGCGTGCGCGGGGGAATTCGCGGAGGACGTGGAGGCTGTGGTCCAGGCGGGGCGCCCCGCCAGAGATTTCCACAACCACCGTCTGGCGACGAAGACGGCGAGGATACCATCTTGGAGGTTAATCCCTTCAGCGAGTGGCAACCTCCCGCACGTCGAGGCTGACCCCTTCGCTGCATACGACGACCGTGACATGCAGCGACGGGGCCAGGTCTTCGTGGACGACAACGATCAACGCGATGACAGAGGCAGACGCGAGGAGGCTGCCTTCGCCGGCGGATATCGTGCCCGATACGATTGGGGACTTAATCGCGAATATGGTAAATGGGAGGGCCCGTTTCGGGTTGACATCCCCGAATTCGATAGAGAACAAGATGACGGGCCATTGTATGACGGTCCGCTGATCTTTGATGAAGAGACTCCGGTGACGGAGAAAAATCTTTGCGGGGACATGGGAATAGATGAGAATGCAGTTGTCGGCATGGATGGAGATGACCACGAAATTCGTAGTGGATAGGTATCAATTGATGTATATTCATATATTGATGCATCCATTATTTGTGATTTATGTGATATGTGGCATCACGTTTTTTGTGTGGGATCTCATCCTAAAGGCAGATGTGCTCGTTCTTGGTTGTGCCCAAGAGTCTTCGTATTTGTTGCTGATGGTGGTGAGACAGTTGTAGTCGTATCCCTGTTTGATGAAAATGAAGAGAGTGTTGCATTGGTTGGGCGACGTTCAACTTTCGTGTTTGATCAGGAAAAACGACGGGGGTTTCTTACCATGGATTCGACACCACACGCCGGTCACGGGAGCGCATCGGCTTTGAGGGAGAAGCCTTCCGAACCGGGAGAGAATGATGTAGATTATTATTATTATTATTATTATTATTATTATTATTAGGTATCTTCTAGAATAAGTTATGAATTAAATATTATTATAAGAGATCTTGTCTTGTTGGACAAGTTAGTTTTAGGATTAAAGGACTTATATAAAGGACTCCCTCTAGTTTATTTCCTTAGTTGATTTTGAATATGAAATAAGATTAGAGATTATGAATCTTGCGTGTTTTACGAGAGAGTATCTCGTTTACTCGTTTATCTTTCTCACTCGTATGTTTCCCTACATCAATTGTAGATGCTCTTGTAGGCCCGTTGGTGAAATTAAAATTCAAATGCCTATTTCTTTATAAATGGTTTATTGGGTGTGAAATTAAAATTCAAATGCCTATTTCTTTATAAATGGTTTATTATTAGGTGTCAGACATAATTGGACTCGACGAAACACGAAAAACAAAGAAACGAAAAAACTGAAAAGTAATTAACCTTTTTAGAATTAGCCAACTCCTAATTTGTCTTGGTGGAATTCACATATTCTTGTTTGAACTCATTACTTATGTGCTTTGTCTTGATGCAATTCACATATTCTTGTTTGAACTCATTACTTATGTGCCAGACGAATCGATTTCATGCTTTTGTAATAAACTACTTGGTCATAATTTTGTTAAAACACACACTTATCTTTATGAAAACTGAAAAGTTATATATTTTATAATAAAAACACATATTTATATCAAGAAATGTTAATAAATACACTGAGATAGTATTTGTCTTGTTTTAGAATATGCATTGTTGTTTGTATGACCCTAAGTCCTACATGAAAACCTCAAATTCGTAATTTCTTAATGCATTGACAAAGATAACCATCTAACATACAAAAGCTTCACAGCTCTTATTTATACACCATCATGATTATTACAAAAACAGTAGTAGTTTTAGACTAGTCGTCGTCTCTAACATTCACCACCTTACGTCACAAGACAGCAACCGGCCCAGATTAGGCCCAATTCATCTAAGCCGGCCCATTATTCCCCTAAAAACCCAGCCCAATCCGAAACTTTATATGGACCCGGCCACCACTCAAGCGGAAGCCACCCTACCCCTCTGAGACCTCTCGCCGGCGCTGAAGAAGAGCGTCTCCTCCCTCGAGAACTTGAGCCTCTCCGCCTCCTCCGGCGAGATCTGGTACGCGGCGGCGATGACGTCCCTCGGCAGCCCCCTCAGGGCGGAGGTCCGGCCGCTGAGGGTGTTCATCATCGCCTGCTCGTTGGTGTTGAACTCCACCCACTCGCACCCCTGCTCGCCGGCCCTCTTCACCACCGCGAAGTTCTGCGGCACCACCACCGCCTGGCCCTCACGGACCTCTCCGTCGAACACCGCCTGACCACGGTGGTTCACGATCTGCATCCGCGCCGCGCCGCGCGTGATGTACAGGAAGCTGTGCGCGTTCACGAACCAGTGCGGCGCCTTTATCGCGTTCTGCCAAAAAATTGGAGATTAATTTGATAAATGGCCGGTTAAAAAATTGGATCTTGGAGCAAATAATGTTGAAAAAAGGGACTAATTTGAAATAATTGCGTTGAAGCCCTTTACCCTATAGAGGACTCCCCTGGCGGCGCTGAGGCGGAGGAGGCTGAGGATGGGGAGTGTGAGGCTGTTGACGGTGGTCAGTCTCCCGGCGCGTGGGTTGTAGACGTCGGCGCGTGAGGGCCTATCGATGTTCTCCCTCACCTTGGCGCTGCATATCGTCTCCTCCAGGCCGTTGTACGGACGGTCTTCTTCCTCCCCGCGGCGGCCGTACTCCTCCCTGGTCAGTGGCGGCGTGATGACGTGGAGTCGTTGCCGGACGGTGATGATGTGGCCCCTATCGTCGTTTTCTGACTGGAGGCTCTTGGCTGTCTCCTCGTCCACTCCGAATACCTGGGCCAGAGTCCGAGAGTCGAATCCCCGGAAAATGTTGCCTTGCTCGTGTTGCTCTTGCTGCCGCCGGCCGCCCTGCTGTTGCTGCTGTTGTTGGGGGTTTCCGGCGAGGTGGAATGACTGCAATATACATCATACAGACGTTAGACGGTCTTACATAATTACATAAGAATTTGTGTTAGGTTGTGAAAAATTAAAAGATTTTGTAATTGTTGATTGCAATAAAATCACTTAGGCCATTTCCACCTAAAAAAAAATAAATAAATAAAAGAATAAAATACTCATCACTCATCTTCCATCTTGCATGTTGCATATGTTGATTCATTTTAAAGTAATTGCCACATCAAAACTGTCACATCCAATACTGGTTTGATGAATCATTTTCAAATAATTCATCTTCAAACTCATACTCATTTTGAAGTAATTGATGACTCATTTTCTAATTCATTTTTTTAAATGTCATATCAAATACTAATTCATTTTGAAGTAACTGTTGATGACTCATTTTCTAATTCATTTTTTCAAATGTCATATCAAATACTAATTCATTCATCTTGTTACGTAAATAGAAGCTTGAGGCATGTAGTTTATGACCGCTTTAAAATATTATTTTTAAATATAATAATGATTACCCTAGGGTTACGGTCCAGTTGGTTAGCGGCATTGTCCGTATGTTGCAAGGCAACAACAATCAGCTCCTCATCGCCGGTATTATAGGCCCAATGGGCCGCCCCAGCTGGGATCGCAATAATGTCGCCCGTCTTGAAATGTTCGATTCTTTGGTGCCTATCCCTAAACCTCTCCCTTCTCCCCTCCTCCGACTCTTGTTGTTGTGACGACTCGAAAGTTTCCGGGCAGCCCGACAACAATATCCCGAAAATACCCCTCCCTGCATGGGCCCATAACAAAACACATATCTCAAAAAATTGTTATGTCACTCTTTCTGTTTGTTTCGAATAATTAATTTGTGCTAAAATTTATTTTTTTTACCTTTAACGACGTAAGCTATAACAGGGGCATTATGGTAAGCCGGCAACATGAGGCCTTTCGCCTGAATCCGGTGGCGGTGGAGAGAGCCTCCGGCACACCGGAACTCGTCGGAATTGTGATCCCAAAACTCAGTCAAGCCGCCTTCTGACCGGAGTGTGTAGGATGGCTCCTCGGCGTTGATCCTCGAGATCTGGCAACGGCCTTGCTGCCAGCTGGCCTGACGGGTGGCTAGGATGGAGCCAGCGAGGAGAAGATAGGTTAGTAGAGAAAGAAAGAGCTTGGCCATGGCTTTGGGTTTTATATATCTAACAACTTAAGTGATTTTGTGTGTAGTGTTGGTGTATGTGGCGAGTTGAGAGTGTGTGGGTTTTTTATAGTGAGAGTTGAGGTTAGGGTGGAGGCATACGTGGCAGCATGCATGTGTGCGTGGGCTTGGATGCTTACACATAAGGCTTAGGTGGCTTTGGTTTTCTGATGGGTTTTAGGACAGCCTGTTTTCTTTGTCTGTTTTTGTTGGGGGTGAGTGGAGAGTTTTGGACTGTTTTTTGGGTGTGTGAGTCACCGAGTTGATGAGGTCTTGGTGATATTGTCGAAGCTGTGTTTAATGTTTGCGTATAGTACGCCGTAGGATGTGTGGTATTTATTTATTGGCAAGGAGAAAAGGCTGCAAAGGAATCAAGATTAGTCGAGCGTTACTTTATCGAGTTAGGATTGAATTTTTTTTTAATGCTGCTCGAGAGCGTTGGCTTTATCGAGCTTAGGCTTGAATTTTTTTAATGCTGCTCGAGCTCAACTTTTTGAGGCTCGGCTAAACTCGATGAAAATATGCACAAGATCGATTTGAATTTCATCAATTCAAATTTTAGAAATTTTAAACAAATAATTTCCAAATAAGAATGTTTCTTGAATTTGACTCGGAGTTGAGCTTGAGTTCAGATCAAGGTAAGGATAATAAAATAAATTACAGCTGTACTCGAACTACTCATCCGCTCAAGTTCGAGTTCGAGCATCTCAAGCTTGACTCGTGCTCCATCAAGCTCAAGCTCTTTACTTGAGCACTCGAGCCACTCAATTCATTTGCTACAGCTTCATAATGAGTGGGGGGATGCACTTTTTCAATATCTTTGCTATCCTCATCAAAAGAATATATACTCGTTTAGAAAATACGAATTATGGACAAGTACATTAAGTAGAATAATTTGTCAAACTGAGTATTAGCATATATAGGATTTGTAGAGACGACTCTAGCTTTCATTTCTACTGTGTTGACGGGATTATAGCGAATATGAGTAGCTGATTTTCTAACCGCTACTAAGTATGTGCTTCCTGGTTCATCTTTTCATGCGATTAAAAGACAGGAGTCACTAGAAACTAACAACAATCAACTCTAGTCCCCATGAAACTAACAAGTTAAAACACATCTGATCATTTACATTTTTTACTTCTTTTGCACATCGCCAACTCAGTTGATCACTTATGCACGGATTTCACCAAGTAGCAGCACCGATTCTCAAGATTCGCGGTATTTGGTCAGATCAAAGGTCAATGTCCTTGAACAGCTGTAAAGGAA